GTTCTTTTCCTCAATCAAATTTGGTTTTACTTCCTATATTTTAATAAAATAAATAGGTAATTACTATCAACAAAACGATTATGTATGTAAAGCATATCTTACTTCATATATATTCAAAGGTGTATGTGGTGGAAAGTTCTTTTTCTCGCAAAGAATTGGAATAATATCACCAACTTTACCAAATTTTCTAACATATAAATAACACATTCCTCTGTGTACATAGGTATAAGAGATTAATTCTCATATTAAATTAATTAATAAAATAAAGTTCAAATCACATACTCAAGAGATTGTTTATCAGGATTAAAGTACTTAAAGAAAATTAGTATAAGAGAATTTTCTTCTATTGTCGGAAACCATGTCTACATAGCAAACAAATAACAGTTGAATAGTACATGTTTTAATAAAATATATGCATAAATTGTTAAATATTAGGTACTACTTTTCCGTCAATTTGTTTGTCTGCAACCTCCAAAAACATTTTTAGCTCATTTTTCCTCGAAGCCATTTTATTGTGGATTTCTTTCATAGCTATCCATGACAAAAGTAAATCAAAAGTTTAATATATATAATATGCACAATATGAAATGAAAAAATGTATTTTATACATGACTCACTCATGAAAAAATAGTCTGGTATTGGAGTATCTGGCCTGACAGATTTATTTTGGCGATTTACAAGAACCCAGAATCTTACTTTCTCAGATGGAATCTCGAAATAGTGAGCGACTCTAGCCTTGAAAACTGCATATGTATCACTTTTTAAAACCTTAAATTGTGGAACTTCAGATATTGGATATTGCCAATCATCAAAATTAGCTAGATCAAGCCCCTGATGACGTTCAAAATTAGCCAAAGTCACAATCTAATATTGAGTTGGATAAAGTTTAATAATCCAACATTATTATTGATACTCATAATGACGTTACCGTACTTTCTCGTAATAACGCCATGTACGTTATCTCGAATTTTGCCCGAATTAAGCTTAATTTAGGCCAAAATTCGAAATTACACTCCTGCGCGTTCTTACTCGAAAATACGGTACGTAATTACCTTAAGAGACAAATATAAATGACGCTCTTCAGCTTCTTTTTTTCTCAGTTCATATAAAGCCTTCTCATCAGCTATGCGTCTTTCTATTAAACATGCATGTGAAAGATAAGTTCACAGACAGTTTCAAACTACAGCGCTTCATAAATGAGTACACTTACGCAAATGTTCCGTATCAAGTACCGGAGATAGTACAAAATCAATATCAGATTCACGGATATACATTAATATATATGCACTCTTAAATCGGTTATGATTTGTTTCACCCCCGTAATTATCTTCAAGTACTTCTTTATCTATTACAGGTATAACTCTATCATCATCAAATTTGAACCTTTTATGAAATTAATTTTAGTTATCTAACTTATTATTGCAATCTAAAGATTTTAATTTATTTGTAAAAATTCAGACCATTTGCCATTCTTTTCTGGTTTTAAAAAAACATAATATCTGCCTCCATGTAAATCACCACTGTGAACGATTACTCTAAATATAATCAGAAAAGCTATTAATAAAAATTTATTAATATGTTGTTAAAAAGCATATACATTAAAAATATTGAATCCACGTTTACAAACCCATGAAGTAAATAATTATGTGGTTTTGACTTATCGCTATCTGATGATAAATAGCTTTGTAAATCAATTTCCATAGGATATTCATGACGATCATTTATCTTTGTACAGTACATATTAGTGTGTTATATAATTTTTCAACCATTAAATTACTGAATTTAAGGCTAGAAGTCACAATAAATACCTTAGCTGTAGTATTTTTTTGCATATCATAGTCAAACCGTTTTAATTGTATTCGTAATACTGGCGGAAAACTTTCAAAAATCACTCCTTTTTTTGCATCCTATAGACAATAAAGTCAAAACCTTGCATTTAATGTAATTCTCAGCTATATTGTGACCAAAATATAACTTACTTGTAAACCACATGTTTTAGTTTGGTATTTATTATTTCCTTCACAAGATTCTTC